TATATATATATATTGTTAACTTTATAAAGGTAATCTGCAAGTCTAAATAGGTCGACCTAACCAACCAGGGTTCGGACGTGGATTTCTGTTGTATATGCAGACGTCGTAACCAATTAAGCCAGTGGTTCTGCGTTGTAAATTTGAGTCTAATTGTAGACGATCGATTTCATTTTCTGTGAAAGTACAAGTACTAGTATACGATGCACGCTCTCCCTAACATTTAGAAATGACAAAACAGGATATCCGAAGAGCTACCATTATTAACATGAAAATTGTTTAAACCTTCTCAGGTTATGGAATATTCATGCAAGTTGGACATATGGATTTCTACGTCAATGGTGGAACCGATCAACCAGGATGTGACCAGGGATTGGTTGGGAACATAATCACATCTGGCGGTATCTATGACGGTGTGATATATAACATTTCTTCTATTGGTCATTGCAATAAGATACACCAAAAATTTCTCCAGAACTATGCCACAGAGCAGCATTTTTATAATGCTTAGTTGTAAAGGAAAAGGGTCCAAACCATCAGCTCTCCAATCCCCAAGCTCAAATAAAAGAGCATTTAAAGTGGTTAGATGATTAGTTTTCTACTCACTAAGCATCCTAAATAGACTTGGATATAGTGCAAAGGTCTAAAATGGGCAGTTATCTAAATTTTTGTTATAGAACACTGCTGTCCAAAATGAGCCGTCCTCCACCCTTTAAGCTTCATAGAGAGATTAGGTTAGAGTATCTAGGTCCCAAATAAGTTTCCTATTCAAGCACTTAATTTTCTCAAGAAGCCTAAAATGCATGTGCATTCGTAAGTGAGATCGAACGGTAGTTTGTTAACATTTTTAAGTTTACGTACGTTGTTAAAATGTCCTACGCCATAGAAATAATATCAAGGAGCGGAGCTTAGCAGAAATGTATATTGCTTCAACATCACAATCGCATTTAAAGTAAACGTTAAGAGACCTGTCTCTTATACACATCTAGATGTTTTTTTTTGTCCTTTCGTATTTTTGTTTGAATTGGCGAGATAAATGAAATGAAAGGAGATTTAGTTGAGCAGCATAGTGAGTTAGGGAGGGACTTAGTCATAAGACATCGAAACCTCAGCAATTACCAAAAATCCACTAAAAATGCCTCATAAATTTGTGAGCTTCTGTTTTTATATTTATTAGGTGGAGTTCAATACGTCGCTTGCAATCACGTCAGATCTTACGAATATTTCACGGAATCAATCAACAGTAAATGTAAGTTCACGTCATATGACTGTACAAACTATGGACAGGGTGAAAAAGGCTATGAGGCGTATAAAAACGGTCAATGTTTCGACAACAATGGCGTCGAGATGGGCTTCCATTCTATCGATAGTTGGTCAATGTCATCAGCTTCCGATACAGTCTACTTTGTTAACACAAAGGACAGCTCTCCATACTGTGGTAAGATTCGATGGAACACGATAAACATTTTACATGTAAATGTTATTCAAAAATAAAGTATTGAAAAGTCATGAGTAATATAATGAATAATAATAATAATAATAATAATAATAATTATTATTATTATTATTAGTGTTATTATTATTATTATTATTATTATTATTATTATTATTATTATTATTATTATTATTATTATTATTATTATTATTATTTCAGGATTGCAATACCGATTCCAAATGTATGTTGATGATCCAGGTTGGCTTTCAGGTAGTAAAGAGAAAGGAGACCTCTTCGTCTATCTGGTAGGAAACAGAGGCACAACAGGAAAAATTCCATTGACCACGTAAGGTTAACAAATAGGGAATAACATATAATCTACGAATGACTATACTATACATTATTCAATACTTTTACTTACCGTTATTATAATTGATTTTTGAATTGTATATCTTAACTAATTGTGAAATAAGGTTTGCTATTATATCAATTTGTTTTATAGACATTCCCAGTATTTTGAGCCAAAACAAGATTATGGATTTGTGGGTGTCGCAGAAACTGACCCTGGAAGACTGACAGGAATGTATATGGAATGGTCCTATGATCCAGACTGGTATAAGCCGTGGGATTGGGACGTCTGGACAAACCCTGAGATATACGTTCATAAGTTTGACGTTGAATCAAGTGAAGAGAAGAGAGGGTAGGTTAATAATTTTGTCAACACTAATAAAGTAATTAAACTTTTTTTGTAAATATTATTATATATAGGCTATGTTATTATGTTATATATATTATATTATATATTATTGTATATTATTATTATTATTATTATTATTATTATTATTATTATTATTATTGTTATTATTATTATTATTATACCATTTTATTAATTTTTTTCTCTCATTTTTATTATGTAGTTATCTTATGTGTGGCGACGACAGCGAAATAGTTGCTGAAAAGGATAAGAAAGCGTACCTTGTAACCTCTGGCTGCAGTTAGAACGGATCCTTAAATAGAAATACTCTCCGATTTCAATTTGTATATTGGAGTAAGTAAAGTTGAAACGATTTGTGACTTACAGCGTCAGTCTGACGATTATACTTCCTTGCAAGCAGCAGTCATCAATGTTAAATTAAATATGGATTATTTTTAGTTGTGTTATTGTTGCTTAATTGATTAAAAGTCAATTAATTGATTGATTGTTTATCAAACGATGAGATTTTAGTTGATTGTGCATAAAATGAAAACTGGTAGGCCTACAGCGTCGATTATCATTGTTTCTAGTTCTAGTTTTATGGGAAATAGCTTGTTGGAGCTTTACTTATGTTGGATAATGACTTATACAATAATTAGTTTATGGACTAGAGGTTACAGAAACAGTCGGAAAAACGTTGATGATGAAAAGAAATTATTATTAAATAAAATCGTTTGGTATTGTGAAAATTTAGTTTTCTAAATTTTTGGAACGTGTCTCCTGGGTAAAGATATCTAAACGTAGATGAAGTACTTGAATATTAACGTAATGCAACTTGATAACAACTTAAGATTCAAACCTAATTCGAATCTAAAATATAAGCACCAATTTTAACTGCTGGGGCTATGGACGTGTCTGGGGTATCAAACGCGGCAACCAACCTATCAGGGCGTTTTATGTAATAGCCAGGAATATACACATGTTCCTTTAAACTTGCATGTTTACGTAAGTTTACGTACGTTGTTAAAATGGCGTAGGACATTTTAACAACGTAAGTTTACGTACGTTGTTAAAATGGCGTAGGACATTTTAACAACGTAAGTTTACGTACGTTGTTAAAATGTCCTACGCCATAGAAATAATATCAAGGAGCGGAGCTTAGCAGAAATGTATATTGCTTCAACATCACAATCGCATTTAAAGTAAACGTTAAGAGACAACCAAGTACAGTTTACTCGACATAAGAACATTTAATTCCAGTGATTCTGAATCGCAAAAAGTAACACATTTTACAACAATGATTGACCTAGCTTACAGGGCCATACAGCCAGACACATGGAGGACTTCTAAATACCAATCTAATTAGTTCAACCTAGTAAGAAATGTAATTTACTACATTTACTTGTGTTGTTAACACGTTCATATTCTTTGGAAGTTCTATTTGCAGTCTTTGACAGCAAATAACGTTTTAACGTCCTTGTTTGCTTGTATCTTATTATCGTCACCACACATTGTGTACCTAAAAAAAAAAAAAAAAACAAAAAACAAAAAACAATAAAAATGTAGAAATCAAATAATCATCAGATATAACAATCATTGCTACCGTCCATCTGTGGACTTAAATCCCGACACACCACCCTTGCCATATAGTACACATCATTGGCACTATCACACGAATTACATGGATTGGATTGGATTAGATTTATTCTGTGTAAACACCAAGGAAAACCCACGGAAGTCTAAAGAAGACTTATTTCCAGTGGGGTCCTTCTGGTGGTGATTGGGTAGTACACCAGAGGAGACAATCTCCTACCCGTTTCTACAGCGGCTATTACGTGGGACCAACTGCAAAATAAAAACGTCTCATCCGAAAGACCCGGTGACAGGGGAGGATCCAGAGATGTCCCTCCAGGGGCGGATCCAGAGATGTTCAAAAGGGTGGGGGCGAAATTTGGGCCGATCGAGACAACACTGAAATAGGAGGTCCGGGGGCATGCCCCCGCGAAATTCCTGTGTTTTAAACGCCCGAAAATAACATTTGAGGCGTTCTTGGCTATCGTTTTTTTTTTTTTTTTTCTTTTTTTTTTACCTCTCAAAACGGGGCCGCCTCCCCCCTAAATCCACCCCTGGGTGAGCTAATGAAACTTCCATTTCAACCCTCCAGCTGAAATACAGAAAGAGAAGCAATAGGACTTGAACTGGGGACCAAGTGTTCAGTGTACACGCAGTGGCTACCACCAGTTTAGCCGACTGAGATAAGCTGCTCTCATCATCACTAAAATATTCACTGAGATATTTATATGAAGTAATATTTAAGCCTACCTAGTTCCGTCACTGTCTTGAATGAGTATCTTGTGCAAGTAGATGTCTGGGTTTACCCAAAGATCCCAATCCCAGGGCTTGTACCAATCCGGGTCATATTCCCACTCAAAGTAAGCACCAACGATCGGACCTGTCACCACATCGGAGACCGCCACAAAAGTGTAGTCTTCACCAGGATACATCAGAAAACTTTCACTATAGAAAACAAGAAGTTAAATGCTGTTGATAATTAGGCAACACAAATAAATCGGTTGTGACGCTTATCTGAATAAATAGCGTTCAATAATCGTGGGTTCAATTCCTGTGACAGCAGGACTTTTTCTCACCACTAAAAAAACTTAACTCCCTAGCCTAGTAAAAAGAAAAAGCATTATGTTATTTCAGTGGCGGATTCAAGGGGGTTGGGGCCCCCTAAATTGTTAAAAATTATATTTAAAAATGGAGAAAAAGAGAAGTACCATTTCCGACCATCTAGAGGTGACATAATCGTAATTGCTCTTGCCTCAGCCCCAAGCATGGCGGGGCTGAGGTGGGTGGACCCTCTATCTCTAGAAGTACCTCGCTGCCCCCCCGTTTATTTGCCCCTTTATTTGCCCCCCCCCTTTAATTCGAATTCCTGGATTCGCCACTGTATTTCATTTATTTAAAAGGGTACATGGATATCAGCCGACCTTCTAGGATACTCTGGAAGGTCACCCTCTATAAATATGGTTAAAACTGTTTTCTGACATAACCTAACCCAGCTTTTCAAAACGTTCGCGCTAATGTTTAGTAATCTTGTGCTGCATCATACCTGTAATTGGAGAATGAGAGTAAAAAAAAAAAAGCACTTTTTAGAAAAACATCACGAAATGAATATTTGCCAGTCAATAATAAGAATCTGAATGTAGTTGTTTTTATTGGCAAATTTATAGATTGTGATTTCTTTTCATTCCATTTCGGCCGTTTTCTCTTTTTATTTTATCTTGTTATTTAATAATCTGTCACGGAAATTTCAGGTATTTCAGTACGGTACAGATGTTTAAAGCCTATATACAACCAATATCAATTTATTTCACAATATTATAATTATAATTGAATCGGGTGTGGGGGGGGG